CTATGGGTACTACAGAGTTCTTTACCTTCTGCTAAGCACCTGCATGGGATACCTGTATACCCTTCTGTAATGGAAATCAGCATGTGGGGGCCAGCGCTATTGGTAAGCCTCTGCTTGCCTAGCAGCCATCTCACATCAGCAGCTGCTCTGCTTCTGCTCTGGTTCCCCAGTAATGAGCCTGGGAAGCAGGGGGTGATGCCCCAAGCACTTGGGTCCCTGGCATTCATGATGGGAGACTGGTGTCACAGACTTTGCTACTGGCTTTGGCCTTGCCCAGACCTAGCTATTGAATCTGTGGGTGGAAGATCTTTCAAATAAATAGATTTCTTTTTTAAAAAGTAAACATATTTATAAAGGAATTTTCTATGTTCAGGGGTGTCTTTTCACCAGAGATTTAGTTGCATGGCAAAGCAACCTTTGCTTAATGGTTCCTTCCCTCTCCTTGCCACTAGAAGTTCCCTCCCCATCCTTTCCCTTTAGTTCAAGGTGATAGACAATTCCGTCATCTGGATGCTTCTGAAACCTCATGTCTTTGTGAAGCTCACTTGTGTACTTAAACTTTTTTTTCCCTCTTGTTCATTGGTTGCCAGTTTCATTCCCAGGGCCTGGGAGGGAGAACCCAAAGGGGAGAGGGAAGGAGAGTTTTCTTTCTTTAAGAAAACTTTGGGACAATGTATTTTTGCATGATGAAGAACCCAGAGAATGGAGAGGTTTCACTCCCCTGACAGTCTGTCTGTAGCTCTTTTTTTTTGTTTTTTTTAAACAGACGTTCACCCCTTTCTAAGCTAGAATAGAACTTTCTGTTCCCTCTGCCCTGCTGTCTGCCTTGCCAAACAAGTATTCTGCAGTAACCTCATAACATTGGCTTTTCCTTGCCCTTGCTTCTCTGTACAGCAATAGGAATACTATTTTTTTTTTTTAAGATTTAGTTTACTTGAAAGCCAGAGTTGCTTAGGTGAGTGGGCAGAAAGAAAGGAAGGAAATTTGTTCTTTCATATGTTGGTTCCAAATGGCCATAGTAGCTAGGGCTAAGCCAGGAACCAGGAGTTCCATCCAGTTCTCTCTAGCTCTTGGACCATCTGCTGTTGCCTTTCCAGGCTCATTTACAGGGAGTTGGATTGGAAGTGGAACAGCTGGGACTCCAGCTGGTGCTGGCTTTGCAGTCAGTGGCTTCACTCACCTTGTGATGATACTGGCCCCCACAGAGTGTGTTTTAAAAAGGTAATTGAGTTCCCCAATCACAGTGTCCTTACACCTTACACCTGTTCTGAGATGCTGTAGACTATTCACAGCCAGGCTGCATGGGGCATCCACATATGGTCCAGGTTATTGCCCGTGGGACCACGGTAAACCAGATAAGCACAAGAGAAACAGATGCAATCAAAATACATGGCAAGCTCCAGATTTAGGATGTTACTGCTGGGGTAACCTGGCATATTGTTTCACAGTAGACTTTTTAAATAGAGGGAGTACACTCTAGAATGTCAACAGTGTAGTATACTAATCACATTAACCAGTAAGAGAGTTGTTTCTTTTTTCATCAGGCATGATGTGTTTAATTGCATGTGCTGTCCTTTTTTTTTTTTTTAAGAGTTATTTATTTATTGGAAAGTCAGATATACAGAGAGGAGGAGAGACAGAGAGGAAGATCTTCCGTCCGATGATTCACTTCCCAAGTGAGCGCAACGGCCGACGCTATGCCGATCCAGAGCCAGGAGCCAGGAACTTCTTCTGGGTCTCCCACACGGGTGCAGGGTCCCAAAGCTTTGGGCCATCCTCGACTGCTTTCCCAGGCTACAAGCAGGGAGCTGGATGGGAAGTGGAGCTGCCGGGATTAGAACCAGCGCCGATATGGGATCCTGGCGCATTCAAGGCGAGGACTTTAGCTGCTAGGCCACGCTGCCGGGCCCGCATATGCTGTCCTTTCAGGCAGCTAGCTGGCTGCACAGCTGGTGTGTTCACACCAGCAACAGTGCAAACATGTGGGTAATGCGTTGGGCTACATCATGGTAGTGATGAGACTGTGTCAGTTCATTACACTCTTAGCTCCCCAATTATGTGCTGTGTTGTTTACTGAAGCCTCTCATGTGCCACCATATGCCAGATGAAAAGGCTTCCATGTCCCTTTCTCTCCCACCATGTAGACCCTCCCCTGATGAAGTCTGGTCCTGTCTGTGCCAAATTGTGCCGTGTGCCCCAGATTGCTCTGCTGTAATGACGTGGGGCCTAAGTGGGACAGGCAGCTCATATTTCCTCCCAAACTGCATTACTGAGCAGCTTTCAAACCTGAATACATCATCAGCTGTGCACATGGCAGGCAAGGTCTGTGACACCCTGAAAACCTGCTCATGGAGAATAGACAGATAAAATGCAAGATAGTGCCCAGGGTGATGGCTCAGTGGCTAAAGCCTTGCCTTGCCTGTACTGGCATCCCATGTGAGTGCTGGCTAGTGCCTCTCACCCAGCTCCCTGCTTGTGGCCTGAGAAAACAGTAAAGGATGGCCTTCAGCCTTTGGACACTGCATTCGTATGGGAGACTTGGCAGAAGCTCATGGCTCCTGGCTTCAGGTTGGCTCATCTCCTTCCATTGTGGCCTTTTGGGGAGTGAACCAATGCTTGAAAAATCTTTCTGTTTGTCTCTCCTCTCTGTAAATGTGTCTTTCCAATAAATTTTTTAAAGAATGTGTTATTTTAAAATGCAGATTGTGTGTGTATGTTTTAAAGATTTAATTGAAGGGCAGAGTGACAGAGAGAGGTAGAGCGATTGATTGATCTTTCATGTTGGATCTCCAGCCTGACCCAGCATCTTCAGGATCCAGGATCCAGAATCCACCTGGATCTCTTGTGTCAGTGGCAGGAACCCCAGCACTTGGGCCATCAGGTGCTACTTCTCAGGTGCAGTAGTGGAAGCTGGATTGGAAGTGCAGAGTGCCTGGGAATTGGTCAGATATCTTAATGGGAAATGCAGGCATCCGAAACAGCTGCTAAAGCCGCTGCACCCAATGCCTGTCCTCAGGTGATCATCTTTATTATACATCTGCCAGCGTGTATTGAAGGAAAGTGCTCAAACTTTTTTTTTTCCTTTTCCCAAAAGTAAAATTGTGGCTGTGCTGGTGATATATCAGCAAGAAGAGAGAGAGAGAGGAGACGTGATGACACAGCGGATTGGCTGAACAGGGACAGCTGGAGGGGGAGAAGGATTTTTGTTGGGAAGCCCCTTGATTTTGTTTGGTGGCATTTTCAAGTTGGCTTAGGCTGAGGCCACATGATCTGAGGGGCTGGGTTCAGGGCATATGTGAACCCCTTGCTCCACTCTTGCCTGAGAGCTAACTAAGGTCTTTGAAGTGGGTCTGAGTCTCAGAGAATGATATTCAGGGGGGAAAAAAAGAAGATAAAAGATTCTCAACCCCCGAAGATTAGCAGGTCCTCTGGAAGCCCTGGCACTGCAGCAAGGTGGCAGGAGGCAGGCTTCTTTTTCTTTTGTAAATATTTATCTATTTGAAAGGCAGACAGAGGAAGAGACAAAGAGAATCTTCTATCTGCTGTTTCATTCCCCAAATGGCAGCAACAGCCAGGGCTGAACCAGACTGAATCCAGGAGGCTGGAACACCATCTAGGTCTCCAATGTGGATACAGGGGCCCAAGTACTTGGGCCAACATCATCTGCTTCCCCAGGTGTATTAGCAGGGAGTTGGATTGGAAGTGGAGCAGCTGTGACTTGAACCAGTGCTGGCATTGCAGGCACTGGCTCAACTGGCTGCACCACTACAGCAGTTCAAGGGAATCAGTTTTTCAGAGTGAGACATCCATTTGTGGTTTTGGCATTCTTCTTTACATGAAAGAGTGATGATTAATCCAGCGAGAGCTAATGCAATGAGAACAAAGACCTATGACCCGAAGTCTGTTGCCTTGGGGAGTATTTGAGTTGAAGGTATTTCATAACTTTTGTGAGTTATGTAGTACCATCCTGATGAGATATTGGCACTTTGAAGTTAGTATGCTGCTGAGGTTTCATATCTTTACTTTTAATTTTTAAAGTATATATATATTCTATATATATATGATTTATTTTTCTTTGTTTTTATTGGAAAGTTAGATATAAAGAGAGGAGAGACAGAGAGGAATATCTTCTATCTGATGATTCACTCCCTGAGTGGCCACAATGGCCGGAGCTGTGCTGATCCAAAGCCAGCAGCCAGGAGCTTTTTCCAGGTCTCCCATGCTGGTGCAGGGTTCCAAGGTTTTGGGCTGTCCTTGACTGCTTTCCCAGGCCACAAGCATGGAGCTGGATGGGTAGTGGGGCTGCTAGGATTAGAACCGGTTCCCATATGGGATCCTGGCATGTGCAAGGCAAGGACTTTAGCCATAAGGCCATTGCGCCGGACCCATATCTTTAATTTTAAAATCCCATTTTCCTGATAACACAGGTTTCAGCTGGCTAACATGCTCTTGGTTTATGCTTGAGTCACTCCCTGGGTTTGTGACTCAAGGGTTACTAAGGCCTTTCAGCTACTATAGGAGAAGGTGAACTTTCTTTCGCAAGCGCGCGCACACACACACACAAACACACACACACACACTTCCAAAATTGTTTCAGTATCTATCAGACTTTGCCCTGAGTCTTGTGTCGGCCTGTATGATGATGTTTTATTGGTGCGAAGCCTCAGGAATATCTGTTGCAAGCCTCCCTGTGTAGCCGATGGCTTCCGTTCCAGCAGGGTGCCATGTGGTTGTCATCGCAAGGCTTGGGAGAAGGCTAGCAGGTGTTCCCAGTGGCTGAGCATCAGGTGGGATCTGCAGCAGGAGATGGGGTTGCTGCTGCTCCATTCGGCCTCTCTGGGTTTCTGAAGACTGAAGGAAATGGCTTTACCCAGTTTCTGACGTCACGGTGTAAAGTTCACACATTCCTTTCATTGCTTCCAGAGGATAGGATGCTGGCTAATTATTACAGGCTGTGTGTTCATTAAGTAAAATGCAATGATTTGTCTCTCATTTCCCAGGTGTCAGTCTTTATGTGGTTTCTGACTTCCCCAGCTTGCAAAGCAGAGTGTTGTAAATGGTAAGTTTTGGGGTGTAGGAACAATTTTTTTGGCCACTCCTGTGGGTTTTGGCAGTTGAACTCTGAGAGGCATAGGTGTGGTTTTGTGTTTATCCTGCTGTGTGTTCCTGGAGCCACTTCAGTCTGTTGCCTGATAGCCTGACAGCTTCTGCTTTGTTTTTCTCCCCTGTGGTTACACATGAGACAAACCTGTTTGATCATAATCCCTTATGTTTCCTTAGCTCTCTCTCTTTTTTTAAAGATTTATTTATTTTTATTGAAAAGGCAAATATACAGAGAAAAGAGACAGAGAGGAAGATCTTCCGTCCGATGGTTCACTCCCCAAGCAGCCGCAACAGCTGGAGCTCCAAAGCCGGGAGCTTCTTCTAGGTCTCCCATATGGATGCAGGGTCCCAAGGCCTTAGGTTGTCCTCAACTGCTTTTCCAGGCCACAAGCAGGAAGCTGGATGGGAAGTGGGGCTGTAGGGATTAGAACCAGTACCCACATGGGATCCCAGTGTGTTCAAGGCGAGGACTTTAACTGCTATTCTGCTACTCTATTGCGCCGGGCCCTTGTTCTTTTATATAGTTGTTCTTTTTCATATGGAGAGCTTAGCATTTTTTATTTTCACCATTCATGGTTTTCATCAGTGGTACTGATTCTGAGTTCATAAATTAATTTTTTTCTTAATCTGTGTTTAAATTGCTTTAAATTCATCTGGATTTAATTGTTTTTCATTATTTTGATTTTTTGGGAATTTTAAATTTTGGGGTTTTTTTTAGTAGATTTTAGTAACATCATGCCTTTTTCATTTATTTTCATGGATATATTAATTATTTGTTTAAATACTTATTTAGTTGTTTGAAAGAATTATACAGAGAGAGACAATAAGAGAGTTTTTGTCCACTGGTTCACTACCCAACTGGCTGCAGTGGCTGAGGCTGGGCCAGGCTGAAGCCAGGAGCTGGGAGCTCCTTTTGGGTAGACATGTGGGCTTTCTTTCTGCTCTTTTTCCCAGACACCTTAGCAGGGAACTGGATCAGAAGTGGAGCAGCAGAGACAAAACCAGTGCAGGCAGTGACTTTACCCACCATGCCACAATGCCGGTCTCTAAGTCAGTTGTTCTAATGTGAATGTCTGAGCTACCTGTGGATCCTACTACTTTGACCTCATTTCTGGAGCATTGGGCTCCGTTTTCCTGGGTAATTCCTGATTCAGGATGTGGACGAGACTCTCTTTGACAGCAGATGCCACTTCCTTCTAGCACACGTGTCTGATTGACTAGAGGCTGCTGTTCCCCCCCCCCACACACATCTTTTGTTTTGGTTCCCATATATACATTCAGAAGCATGAGGGTTCTAGGGCCTCTCCTCCTTGCTAGCACAAATCCAGGTGTTGTCTGCTAAGCACAGTGTTACCCAGAATCACTAGAGGTGAAGAAAGTGGCCTCTAGCAGTTTGTTTTTGCTTGACTGTTCTCGTGTGTGTGTGTGTGTGTGTGTGTGTGTGTGTGTCTGTGTGTGTCTGTGTGTAGTGTGTGCAGGTGGCTCGAATGGCACCTTGGCACCTTTGCTGCCCCTCCTTTCTGGAGTTTTGATTCTGTGAATCCTGGCTGGTTTGTTCTCATTGATGAGAACTCTTCCAACAGTTACTGCACAGCTTTGTTTTTATTGTTGCTCTTGAGATAACCATGTGTCTGCAATAGCTTAGGCAGAGGGGAAGTGCTTTAGCTTTTAAAAATCAAAACTGCGTTGCAAAGCAGTGGGTTAAGTGACCACTTGAGATGCTAGCATCCCTACTGTGTGCCAGTCACCCGCTACTTCACTTCCTAGCTTTCTGTGAATGTTCCTGGGAAAACAGTGATGGCCCAAGTTCTTGGGCCCAGCCACCCTCGTGGGAGGCCTGAATGCAGTTCCTGGCTCCTGGCTTCTACCTGGCTTGGTCCAGGTCATTGTGCCCGTATGGGGATTGAGCCAGTGGATGGAAGATCTCTTTTCTCTATATATATCTCCCTTGCTCTCGCTGCATTTATAGTTTTCAAAGTTTTAATTCCTGGCCCAAACCAGGAGCCAGGGATTTCATTCCAGTCTGCTACATGGATGAAGGGGACCAAGTCACTGGTCCATGTTCCACTACTTCCCCAGGAAGCTGAGTAGGAAGAAAAGTAGCTGGGACACAAACTGGCACCTCTGTGGGTTTTGGCATCACAGGTGGTGGCTTTACTCACTATACAATGCCTGCCCCCTGTAGTTAAATCTTCTTAGCGGCTCTTTTGTAGCTTGTTTGGTGAAGTGTAATATATTCAGTTTTTGTTTTAAAATCCTGAGGTTTTTGATTGTTGCTTTGATTTCCTTAATAATTTTCACAGTTTTTTAAAAAAATTATTTATATTAATTGGAAAGGAGGATTTACAGATAGAGATCCAGAGAGAAAGATCTTCCCTCCACTGGTTCATTCCCTAAGTCACTTTAAGGGCCAGAGCTAAGAAGCCAGGAGCTTCTTCCAGGTCTCCCATGCAGACGCAGGGTCCCAAGGCTTTGGGCCATCCTCTGCTGCCTTCCCAAGCCACAGGCAGGGAGCTGGATAGGAGTAGAGCAGCTGGGATGTGAATTGGCATCCATATGGGATCCTGGTGCATACAAAGTAAGAATCTAGCCACTAGGCCATCTCACTGAGCCCCATAGTTACTATTAAGTCATCCCCAAATCTAAGTATATTTGTCCATTAAGAAAATGATGATGTCACTGCAAATGATTTGGGGGATTGCTTTAGCTAACTGAAGGTGCCTGACAATCTTAGCCACAGGATCTGGAACTCTAATTCAGAGAAACCACTTCTGCTTTGCCTACTTGACTGACCATGACAATGATGCTATAAGCTTCAAAGGTAAAAAAAAAAAATCTATCTATCTATCTATCTGCAGTGTCCAACAGGAGTGATCATATAGTCTGTATCTGAGCTTGAGTTGTATTCCAATATTCTCTGCAAGCCCAACAGTCTAAACTTCCCAACCTATTTTCCTGCTTTATGAGTTTTGAGTCATTTCTATATCCTTCCTAGTTACTTTCAAGGGTCCATCTGCTTAATAGAAATTTCTTGTAAGGCTGCTCTTTTTCCAGTGAAGTGGGCCGCTCATTGGAAGTGAAGCTAGGTCTGGCAGCCCAGTTTCAAATGGATTCAGTGTCTGCGTGTTGTTACCTGGTGTTTGTAGTCTTATGTATTTGGACTAGCAGCTTAGGCTTGTTTTCCCCATTGCCTCTCCCACAGATGTCTTCCAGCGATGTCCAGATTTCTGTGCCCATGTCAGAAAGAAACAGCAATGGCCTCCCTGGGACGACCTCCAACGACATGAAGACTGCGACTGAAGGATCTGTGTTAAGTTTTCACAACATCTGCTATAGAGTCAAAGTGAAGAGTGGCTTCTGTGGTCGAAAAACATTTGAGAAAGTGGTGCTGTCAGACATCAGGTATGTGCCTCAACTTTTTATTAGGTGCTTTATTGATTTAAAATGAACTTTGTAGTTGTGCCTCTGAACAGTAAAGCTGCTGTGGGCTTTCATGTGCAGGTCTTTGTATACACACCCACCCACCCACACACACTTTCATTTCTTTAGAGTGGGAGTACAATGATTGGGTTATGGGTGAGATTTATGTTTTAATTCAGAGGATCTGCCAAATTATTTTTAAAAACTGATTGTACCATGTACATTATCTTGTGCTTGGGAGACTGAATAATTGATGCGTCATTTGCCTTTTCCTAGATGAATTTGGTGTTTTGGTTTATTTATTTGAGAGGCAGAAAGACAGAGGCAGAAGATGCTCTCACTTACTGGTTTACTTCCTAAGTAGCCACAATGACTGAGTCCTGCCCAGGGACCCAGTTTCTTGAGCGGTCACCACCACTTTCCATGGTGTGGCATTGTCTGGAAGTTGGAGACAGGAGCCAGCGACAGAAACCATACCCAGCTACTCTGATTGGAATGTGGGCATCTCAGCCACTAGGTTCAACATCTGTTCTGTGGAAATGGTTTCTTTGTTTGAGCTTTTGTTTTCTAATTTGTTAAAAGGAACACTTTCTAATATATGTTCTACGTCAGGCACTTGGACACTTTATAATGTTCTTTATGTCCTAGGAACAAGGAAGTAAACACTTCCTTGGAATACTTATCAAGTACTTTGATTTTTAAATAGGCCTGTTTTAAGTGAATAGTCTGTTACTCTTAGCAGTGAACTTGCCTTAGTACTTCCTCTGTTGTACAGATAGGCAGATGTATTTGCATCTAAGATAACTGTAGTTCAGTTTAACTTATATTGTGGAAGTCTGAATTAATGGGAGTTTAGAATCCAAATGAATGTAGTTAATTATATTTTAATGATTTTTTGTATGTTTGAAAGGCAAAGAGACAAAAACTATGACAGAGATCTTCTGTTTGCTTGTTCACTCTCTAAATGCCTTCAGCAGCCATGTCTAGGTCACACCAAAGCTTGGAGCCCAGTACTCCATCCAGGCCACCTGTGTGGGAGCAAGGAACCCCACGTTATGGAGTTATCACTGTTAACCTGCCAGGGTGTGGATTAGCAGGGAGCTGGAATCAGAAATAGCAGAGCTGAGGTTTGAACCCAGGTACTCCGTTCAGAGGGTGAAGACAGGACAAGATGGGGTATACTGTTTGGAGGTGCAGGTGAGAGAGAAACATTGGATAACTTTTTCCAGCAAGTAACACCCACCATCGTGCCTCCTTTTCCGTTGCCTCAGAGAGCCACAGGAGAAATGTGGGATTGGGTGCAAGGCTTTATCTTCTGCTGGATGTCTAGGTGAGCTGACTCCTGGACAAGCTTTTTCTGAGATGGGCTGACCAAGAAATGGATTTTGTGCCCACAGAGGAGGAAGGTATCTTAATTTGGGTATGTACAAGCTAATATGTAAGATACATGTGGAGACAGGATACGTTTGTCTTTTTTTTTTTTTTGAGGATTTATTTTATTTTTATTCTTGTTTTATTGGAAAGTCAGATATACAGAGAGGAGGAAAGACAGAGGAAGAGCTTCCGTATGTTGATTCACTCCCCAAGTGGCCACAATTGCTGGAGCTGTGCCGATCTGAAGTCAGGAGCCCAGAGCCTCTTCCAGGTCTCCCACGAGGGTGCAGGTCCCAAGGCTTTGGGCCGTCCTCAATTGCTTTCCCAGGCCACAAGCAGGGCCACTGGGATTAGAAACTGTGCCCATATGGGATCCCAGTGCATGCAAGGTGAGGACTTTAACCACTAGGCTACTGCGCTGGGCTCTTTTTTTGTCTTTTGAAGTTAGTAAATTAGTAACTCTTGCTCCAGGCTTCACAGGGTTATTTTTAAAAATGCATTTCAGCATAGGATAAGTTCTTCTTATAGGGTCACGCAAGCCATCAGATCTTGCCAATCTTCCAGCTTTTTGCAATTGTAAGGACATGATGACTGATCATCTTTCTTACCGATATATCTGACTTAGGTACCTAGGAGAGAGGTTGTTCTTTTTCCGGCTGTAATGATCCTATCTGCTGTCTTTGGCTTAGTTTCTGAAGTGGAGCGGGTGAGGGGGAGGGGTTGCTCTCATTCATCTATCAGAGACAGAGGCAGGTGGAGAGCTCTTCAGGCCACCCACTGGTTCACTCCTCAGGTGCTGATAATGACCTGTTCTGTACCAGGTATGAGCCTGGAAGCTCACCTTGGGTCTCCCATTTGTGGCAGAGTTCCAGGTGCTTGAGCTGTCACCTGCTACTCCCCTTGGTGCACATTAGCAGGAAGCTGGAACTGAAAGAAACAGAGCCAGCACTTGAACTCTTGTTGCTCCAACAATGACTGTGGATTTCCCAAATGATAACTTAGATGCTGTGGCAAAGAATTACCCCTCATTTGTCTTATTTTTGATTTATGTTTGACAGCGCTATCACCATCTAGAGATAAAAAAAAAAAAGCTGACCAGAGTCCTTTTCAAAGATTTTTTGAGAGCCGGTGTTGTGGTGTTATGGGTTAAGCTGCCACCTGTAATGCTAACATCCCATTGGGTACTGGTTCAAGTACTTGCTGCTCCACTTACAATCCAGCTCCCTGCTAATGTGCTTGGGAAAGCAGCAGAGGGTGGTCCAAGGGCTTGGATGGCTGAACACAGATAATGTGACTAGAAAGAAACTCCTGGCTCTTGTCTCGAGCCTGGCCTAGCTGCTCCCACTGCTTTCATCTGGAGAGTGAACCTATTCTCTCTTTCTCTCTCTCTGTGATTCTGCCTTTCCAATAAATAAGTCTTTTTTTAATTGAGTATTTTTTTATGAAAAGCCATAAAAATTCAGCAAGATAAATATGAGTCCTGCTATGAAGAGCTTTCTATTCATTGCTTTGTTTTCAAGGTACACGAGACTGTGATTCTGTGCCATTTCCCCTTCTTTAAACACCGCAGGATTTCTGGATTGGTATTCACTGCCCTTAAGCCTCTCATTTATGATTCAACTTCCTTTTCAAATCATTGTTTAGAACATGTGTGCTTTTTTCTGGTCCTCCAAGAGGAAGGGTTTCCTCCTAGTTGGATGCTATTGCAGAAGAGTCTTTCAGAATGCCATCATAGAAGCACATAGCACCCTTCACTCAGGTTCCCATGTCTGGGCTCTCCCCTTGTCTTGTTACCCATTGTCTTCGGTGTTCTCCCTGGACCCTTTGCTAGTAGGCTGACCATGTGGTGCTGCATGATCCCTGAAACCAGAACCCTCTTCTATGAGGTCACTTAATAGTCTGGGAGCAGCAGTTTTCGAGGGATCAACAGTCACTGTGCCCCTTCTGCAGTTGAATGACCACCGTATCTATAAATCTTCATCTAGTCTTGTATTTTCCTGTCTCATCTTACTCTGAGTAATATTAAAACTCCATCCCCTAGTGATGTTGGTGTCTGACATACTTCTTCACAATGTTCCCATTTCCCTCTTTGTCCTTGGTTAGTGTTAGGAGGGGAGATGCTCAGGCATTGTTTCAGAATCTGCCTGCTCAGTGGATCTCAGCTCTCCCTGAAGCAGATGCTGGAGTGCAACAGTCTAAGCCACTGCCTGGGACACCATATGTCTTAGGGGATGCCTGGTTCCAATTCCAGCTACTCTGCTTCTGATCCAGCTCCGTGCTAATGTGCTTGGGAAGGCAGATGATGATGACCCAGGTACCTGGGTTCCTGCCCCTACCCCCCATGTAGTAGTTTGGATCAAGTTCCCACTCCTGGCTTCAGCCTGACCCAGCTCAGGTTGTTATGGACATCTGGGGAACAAATCAATGGACTAAATATCTCTCTTTCTGTGTGTGTCCTTCCTTCTCTGTCACTCTGCCTTTCAAGTATGTGACAAAAAATGCTTATAAAAATAAATAGATCCACCTTATCAGCTTCAGCCACCATTGAGGACTGCTGCCTGAATTAGCCACCATTATGATTACTGATAAGGGTGATTTTCTGTTTTCATTGTCTCTTAGTTTGCATTCTGCATTATTTCGTTTGTGACATTTATATCAGTGCAAATGTATAGATTTGTATTTTCTTAATAACAGTCAGTAGATGTGCAGTTGTGTCATTTCTGTTGATACTGCTGTGTTCTTGATTTGGCCAGAAGGAGAGCTTTGAAGGTGGGTTTCCGCCTCCATTCTTTGGACACATCTCCACATTCTTTGACTCTGTGTACTTGCCCTGCCTTAGTTCTGGAATCAGCTGGTGTTTATTTTCACAAAGGGTGACGTAGATTGAATGTTTCTTCTCTGAAATGCCTTGGGTTGGGAGTATTTTAGATTTTGAAATATTTGTTTTTATATAAGTGAGATATATTTTGAGCTTGGGACCCAAAGCACAAATTTCACTGATGTTTCCTATACACCTTATGTGCATAGCTGGAGGATGAATTTGTGCGATATTTTTAGTATACTTGTGTTTTGAGCTGTTAATTTGAATGTGTAGAATTTAAAAAATCATAGCATCATATTGATACTCAGAAATTTTTGGATTTTGGACATTTTTGGTTTCAGATTTTCAGAGTATGGATGCTTAACCTGTTTTTATTAACCCAGATCTTGGTATGTTAGAAAGTCCATTGCTATTGGTAGAGTTGTGGTTTCTAGGCCTTTTCAGTGGACAAATCTTGAGCATGTGTGTGTGCATATAAGCATAACATTTAGCCACACACACTTACAGAGTGACAGAGAAAGTGAGACAGGGAGAAATCTTCCATTCACTGCCTGCAACAACTAGGACTGGGCCCAGCCAAAGCCAGGAAGGAGCCCAGAACTCCATCAGGATCTACCACATGAGTAATGGGGCCCAAGCCCTTGCATCATCATTGCTGTCTCCCAGGAAGCTGGGTGGGACACAAATCAACTGGGACTCACACCAGGCATTCTGATATGAAATGTGGGTATTCCAGGCAGTAGTTTAATCCGGTATGCTACATACAGCATCTACATCCCCATTTATA